ACGAAGATTTTAGAAGGATGAACTAAACGGATCCACCGTGAGTCGGAGGAGTGCGACCAACAGAACTACTATCATCGGAAAGAGGGTGTTCGTGTCTCCGATATCACACATGAGAAACGGAGTCCCGCTTTTAACGCTTTTAATTGCACTTGACGTTGTCACTCCTAGCCGTGGTTGTGGCTTATGGATGCGGTTCTTTCTTTCGCTTTTTCTTTATCCCCCGGTCGACCGCGAAAGAAGAACGAAAACAAAAAAAACTTGGTCCCAAAATAACGCATCCAGAGAGAAAGACGGGAAAAGGATGGAACTGGGGACCCAATTTATCCACGCTATTGTGGAAATATATCATTACCGGCAGAAAACAAGTGAAAAAAAGGAAACTTAAAACATACGACGCTTCTTTACACGCCTGTCACTTTCGGATCCCTCCATAATTAAACGTCAAATTCTGACGTATCCATCACACGCAAAAAGAAACAATTTAAATTCCGTAACTGTTTCAGTTTAGGGGACTTTAATCCATTTATTTCAATATTTGTTGATAAAACGAATAATTTCAATCGGTTATAATTTATTAACTTTCATTCATCAAAAACTCAAATTTACTTCATGTTGCAATTTCCATACTTTTAAATAAATTATTCAGAAATAATTAAAAATAAAGCTTTGTACTTCTATTCATTAGTTTTCATATTTTACACATTTTACACAAAATCCAAATTTTCAATAATTAAATAATTTGAACATTTGAAATATCTCTCAACATTACGTTTCTGGATAATAATTTTATTTCATCTGAATTTTTCAATTCCAATTGAAATAAATTACCATCAAAGCATTGAAGTTTCCTAATCCAATTTAATTGTTTCAGAAAAGTCATATACAAAACTAGTAAAATATTTCTTATTGAAAATTTATTACTCATTCCGTTCCAAAATAATTGTCTGATTTTAGTTTTGTTTTAATGGATTATTGAAATAATGAAATTTATACAAATTAAGCAGGGAAAAAGTTACTCTAGTAACCGTTTGAAGTTTGACATTTTTTTAAATGGTTTTTGAAGTGAATAGGTAAAATTTTGTGAAAATTGTTAGTTTGTTTTTTTTTACCCACTAACAATTTGTTTAAGGTTAGTTATTATCCAAACAAATTTGAATAGCGAATTGGGTTTCTTTAATCATTACAACACAAAAAGTCCCCGTTCAGTATTGATTAACTCATTACGGCCGTGTATAAAGTATGAAACGAAATTACCGCGAAAAACTAGACAATGTTTTCATTACATAAGCAAGGATGAACTGCGTATGCAGTAGTAACAAAATTGTTTACTATTTTAAGTTATTGCTTAGTTTTGAAAATGCATGTTATATATCCCTTTGCATATATTTTTATGAAATTAGACACTTATTTTGGAACAAATAAAATTCCTAAATTAGAAAAATTATTTTGGAACGGGTGGAGTATTATTTATATACAAATTTTTACATCCGTCGAATACTCATTGTATGAAAAGTTAAGCAACGGAAAAATCTACGTTTTGAAAACTTGATGCATATGATCTGCACGATTTAACAAAGTAACAGCAATATTCTAATTCAAAAACAATAATTTTACAAAATCTGGAATTCCCTAATATGCAAGTCTGGTTGCGTGACAACGTTATACAGTGGAACCTCACTTAACGAACATAATCCTTTTCAAAATTTTCTAGCGAAATTTAGCAAATTGCGCAAACCAAGTGAAGAGTGGAGAGGAAAGGATTTTTACTTGTATAGTGAAAGAATTTTCCCCATATAACAATATACGATAATGCGTTCCATTTTGCGAATCATTTTTCTTACAACTTATTTTGATCGTTAAGCGCTGTATATATTTTTGTAGAATAAGTGGTGAAGAGAATAACTTATGCAAACCACAAAATTCATCCGCAGACTTATTGGCATATAAGTTCTACTTTCCACATCTCTAGAGACCCTGTCAGTGGATAACAGACCTGGAATAACTGCTGAAGTTATCAAATTATTACACAATAGCAATACCCTTATTTAACCCATAGTTGACGTCAAAACTGCAACATATATTGCGCCTTCTACGTCATTTTTTAAAACTTGAGTACATATATTATGTGTGTTTTTGAATATATTCGATTTTCTTTGTCATCTTTGTTTAAAGTGGACTATACTCTGCAAATATAATTTGTGTTTGCTGTAAATGCAAAACACAAATGTATTTTGTCCAACCATTAGTATAATAATAAACACAGTATGTACGGTTTTTTATATAAACAAATATTAACAGTATAAAGAGACCCAACCCAATTGGTACAAGTAATATAAACTAATAGAAACTCACTTCACTGTGTGTGAATTGTGTTAGAGGTCATTCTAGTTGCATCTTAGTTTTGTTTGTGATCACAAAATTTGCAAACTTGTGTTCAGACATTATGTTTCCGAATAAAAAGCCAAAGAATAAAAAGAACCATAGATATGAAAATAAAAATCATTAAAAATCGAGACCAAGTTATAGTTTTTATTTTCGGCAAGAAATCGATTATTGTAATTTACATTAATTTATATGGGAAACGTGTTTCACTATATGAGTAACAATCTGGTTTGGACTCGTAAAACGAGGTTCCGCTGTATTTGTATTTTTTTAATGTATATTGTCTGCTATTTTTTATGGTAGTCTTAAATTCCACATAATTACTAGACTTTACCGATAATGAATGAAGACGCCGCAATACAAATACATTTTTTGAGTGTTCTTTCCGTTTGCCGATGCGTTCGGATGCGAAGGAAATTCGCGTTTATTTCGGGACCGCCGCTAAAAACGGAGACCTCTCTCCGTTTCAGGTTCCATTAGTTTTAGCGAATATTCCGGTCCGACGAACGAACAAAATAAAAGAAATACAGAATATGCGAGAATGGAAACCTTTTGGACGCGCCTCTTCTCTTCTTTTGGCATCGGCAGCAGACACCGAGCGGCCGTTCTGACGTCTGAGAACCATCGAGCGTGCAAAAGAGAGATGAAAGAAACGCAAGAAACCGGAAAATAAAAAATAAATAAAATAAAAGATGCTCGAGCGAAGAGAAGAATTATAAGAAGAAGCATTTCCTACGCAGATCGGTTTCCGACACACTCATAAAAAATATTACTTTTGTTTTTTATTCTTATATTTTTCTACTGATGCGTCTTGCGCGAGTGACGTCTGGAAAACCGTGGAGGGATTTTTCGGTGTTCACCACAAATGTTTATGATTTTCCGTTTATTTGTGCAGCGGAGTTAAGAAAAGACGAGAGGATAAGAATGTTTAGTGTCACAGGCGACGTGTTTACTCTTTGCGTTCTGCGCAAACGGGGCCACCAAATCGTTGTTCATCCTCGATACGACAATTGGAATTGGATAGGGATTTCGAAAGTTTGACGTGACGAGCAACAGTATGTTAGCAAGCATAAATCGTTTCTGAAAAAAATATTTGTTCGAAAACCGAAACTATTTATATAAAGTTGATATAATACGTTCTAATAATTTCATACTTAACTCTTTGAGGAGCGGTAGTACACGCAACGTTCCAGCTTTTGAACATACCTAGTAGGGTATGTTCAAAATGGGTTAATTGTATCTTAATTTACTAAAAAAATAATTTACCAAGAATGAGTTAATTACCACCTTCTATCGAATCAGCAAATTCTTTAAAACTTTATTTATTTATTTTTTGCGTGGCCCCATTTGGATCTATAAATTTAGGAATTTTCACTGTTCATAATATATCCATGATTTACAAAAATGTGCGTGTATGAAAACACGCTTACTAGATTATTATAATTCAATCTATTTTCTGTTTTCAGCACATTTAACGGCAAGATGACAAAACAGAACCGTGGAAAATCACAACATGATAAAATTATTCTGTTTTGTTAATTTACCAATAATAGTTGATGTTTTAACAATATTTTTACTTCATAAAATATTTCTATTTTTTTTTTTCCGATGATTCAATTTAATTTAAAAATAACTTTAAATTTCAGTTAGCGTAAGAACAGAACAGTCACGATAATTGTATAATGTCATTAACTAATTTCGCGAAGTAAGAATCATATATCTTGTAATAAAAGAACTTCTATCAACTTTTTTACGTTATTCAATTTTATTTCAATTATTCCAATAATTATTATATGGTACTTTAGTTTATAACATAAAAGTTTCCTATTTTCACAAATCTCACTGTTTAAATGACTATAGGACTCTTTCAATAATGCAAATATTATCTAATTTGTAATTATATAAAATTAATATAAAGTTAATGCTTCTTTTTATTCCCTTTCTCACTTCATTTAGAAAAGTCGCTGCTTTTTTTTAAATCAGCTAAATCTGCAACTGCTTTAGCTTGTGTTATCTTATACCCGATACATTTTATAAAGGCAACTTTTTTGAAATTTTGTTTTCAACCAACCAATCGAATGCTCACTGTATATCTATATATAGGCAACCAATATATCATTTACCTGAAAATTTGTATTTTAGTAATGATTAATTGTGCTAAACATTTCACTTTTTATTTACTCTTTGCTCCAGTAACTTATCACCAAATATCGTGCAATAATGTACATAATTGTGTGGCAAACAAGATACACAGTGGCTGGCATGATGGCACGGTGCGCCAGCTAAATGAAGATGATAGATGGAGGAAAGAAGTAATGATTAATAAGAATAATAAGAAAATATACGTATACCATAAATATATTGTTTCATTATTATTTAATCATAATAAAATTTTCATAGATATTAAAACGTTTTATAAAATCTTTTCAGGATTTCGCCTTCTGTGGTATATTTAGTCTGTATCTAACTGACACAACTTTGCAAGCCTTAACTGAATGTTCTTTCCGATTTGACGGGTTCTGCAGAATCTAAGGAGTCGGAGGAACCTCGGTTAGGTATTTTATACCATGTTATTGATTATATTGTACACTTTTTATGCAACCAACATATTATATAAATGAGCATTACAGAACGACTTTATTATATCTAGGTAATTGTTGTAAATATAGATGGTGACTGATATTTTGTTTCAAAATTCGGGCGGAGTTCAAGTGCCTCGAAAGCAAAGACACAGAGAAAGTTTGCTATTTTCATGTGCCAATAAAGTCCACTAAATGGATCAAATATATTGGGTAATAAAGTTTAGCCGTTTAGCCATTGCTAGACGCGCGACAAACGCAGCGCGAATGTCATTCATCGTCGAAGCAAGCGGAGGCGGGCGTTTGAAGTACCGCCGCTCTTTGAGTGCGACTGCAAATATTATTCTTCCGTAAATTCCCCGAAAATTAATCGTTACGTGCGATTAATTTATTTTCGGTTCCGAACTCCGGCCTCCTCTTTATAAATACACGCACAGTCGCACTCGTTATATACGCGAAATACCGAGTAAATCTATTGGGAAAGCGCCTAGCTGCGATGGGTCCGAGATCGGACGCCCGGGGGAAGACAAGCTCATAAAGCAGCAGCTCGTGAAGAAGAGACACACGAGGAAGGTATAAATCGGTAGAGTGACTTTAACTGCTCGCGCCTCCCACTATATCATTTTCCAGTTGCCCCATCTAAATATAGTCCATTATGGGATCCAGATAACCCATCCAGAGACGAAGAGTGGATCGTCGCCTCTCATTAGCGGGGGAGGGTGTATGTATGAATGTATGCATCTTGCGACACCGACAATTATCGATTTTTATACGAAACACGTGGACCGTTAGGAGATTCTCTACCATCCATTCTCCACCCGTGGAGAAGAGTATCGTGATGGGTCGGGTCTGAGGGATTTGCGATGCGGCGCATATTTCGTGTCGATTGTCAAAACAGGCCCGTAACTGTCGAGCTCTGACACACAAACGGCCCAATTATGTTGTGTTTATGACCGGCTAAATCCGTCCGAAAACTTCATCACTATTTCCAACGGCGAGCGACAAAAATCCCGAAACTAAAACCAAAAATAGACCGTCCACCAAAGAAATAAAGCAATGCGCGCGTCCGCGCCATCTAACAGTAATTATATAATCTCCAATTAATCAGTAAATATTTACATACAAAAAAAAACGCTTCATTCCAACAAAATTTTGTACAAATCCCGTATTTACAAACGCACGCACGCACAATCGAGTCTCGATCAATCTCATAAAACATTGCAGATTTACGATGAGGAGAGGTACCGACTAAACCCAAGTGATCATATTTATATTATAAGTACAAATGGAGAGCTAAACAACTAAATAAATTAAAACGAAAGAAAATAATATAAGGACGGGGAGAGATTGAGGGGGTGGAGTCACGACTCAATTAGAATGGATCCAGCTGAGGGCGGCTTTGATGTTGGCCAAACGGGCTCTGATCAGGAAGCTGGAGATTAGCAAATACTCGGTGTAGGTTCGTCTTCCTGTCTGGTGGGCTCCACCTCCATTCAATCGGCCCTCGCATAAGACTTTCGTGGTCAACGATAAAAGCCATTGCAATATCTGAAACACATTCAAAGCTCGTGATCAATAAAGAAACGCTTCCGGAAACGAACGATCTTACCTCGGCGCTCGTCGGTAATTTGAATATACCAGGTTTCAACCACGAACTCGGAGCCCACAGGTACAATTGGCAAACATTGGCGGCTACTTCTGGATCCAACCTCTTCAATAACCAGACAAATATAATATCGTTAACATAAATATTTAATCAATTGATTTTCTCAGCAAATGCAAATCGAATTGAAATATAGAATACAAAAAAATCCTACTATAAAATGAACCAATGTTATAAACATAATCAATGTAGATTAACTTATTTTAAAAATTCATAAAATTTTTGGTGATTAAGGCAACTAAATTCGTTAACAAGAAAAATATCTTACATAGTAAATGTGAAGAAAAGTGTATGAGAAATACGTAATTTTATACTTTGCCAAATGCTACGTGGATATTAATAAATCGTTGCTAAGATTTAATAAAACTATGCAACTCTATTAACACCACATTAAGTATTTATTTTTATCTGATTGGTGTTTCACTCCAATAAAACAATTAGAATATAAAACGCAAAAACAAAACAATTAAACGAATAAATAACTAATAATCTTGGCAGTATTGTTTTGCAGATAAGATTATGTATATACTACCACAAATAATTATATTTTATTATATATATAAACAAAATTCGATGTTTTGATAAGAAAGTTTTAGAACCACATGAACAAACAAGACTTCGCAACGTCTAATAATAGATTTGATGAATGCAATTTTCATTTAAGCGTAATTATTTCGTGCTGCCTTGAAACAAATTTGCATATAAGTCGAGAATGTTCAACCTCACGTATAAATAAAAAGAATCGGTGACTCACCTTGCTTGGATTGCGCTTCAGAATATTCTTGATCAAGGCTTTGAGGAGCGCCGGTGCGTCAGATGGAAGATCGGGAAGGTCTTCCTCCTTGTAATCCGTGTTTCGTAGATTCTTCTGGTAAAATGGATTAACTTGACCGAATATTTCGTATCCGATTGCACCGGCCGCCCACAGATCGGATTTCGCATAGTTGAGGACACTGAAGGTTCCTGGACTTTGATTAATGATCTCGGGAGCCATGAGGGCGGAATTTCCGCCCTTGTCGATCTCGTGATTGGCGTAGGCGATACTCAAGCTGCTGGATTTGTCAGCAAGGCAACAGCCGAAGTCGGTGATCACGAGAATGGGGGCGTGACTCTCGGAGGTGTCCAGGAGAAGGTTATCGGATTTGAGGTCGCGATGGGCGATGCCATGGGCCACCAGGTGAGCGATGCCCTCCAGAAGTTGGGCTAGGAGCAAGATAGACGTGCGCATGGCTGGTGGCGAAGAGGAAACAAAATCTTGAAGACTGCAGTTGTATCTGCAAGAACAATCCTTGATTTATCAAATAAGTTATGTGTAGATCAATTAATACCTTTTCATGATTAAGAACAAGGACATGTTTCTGCCTTCACCATCTGGATAGATCCTGGATGGTAGAGCCGCCGGGTACAGACCCCTGGCTCCCTTTAACTCCGGCACGTAATCAGTGAACACCGAATACATGGCTACTACATTGGGATGTGGAGGCAAGTGCTTCTTCCTCTCAGATAGACTGTAAATTACGAAACATTAATAGCAAATATCAGGATAACTCTGGATAGACCTACTCCAATTCCCAATCGCTGATGCCAATATTGCTGTAATACATCCTCGCGGGGATGGTTTCCTTGTACATGGCCCTTAGAATAGCCATGGCGTTCGATTGAATATCGTAGTTGAACATCATTTTCACAGCCAAAGGATATTTGTCAATGCTATCGTCAATTTTCGCTCTTTTCTCTACCAATCCAAAACTCCCATCCACCATCTCAACCCGCTCCTCTTGCTTCTCGGCAATCTTCGCTGAATACACGACGGCGTTCGCACCCTTAGCAATAGGCTTAGCGAACGACAAATCTTTAACCGTGATCGGATCGTTTTCGAATCTATTCTCATCGATTTCGATATCCTGATATTTCCATTTAATCTTAGAAATTGCTTCCTAAAAATAATAAACAACTGTCATCTATATGTTTAACTTCTTTTATGTTAAATAAATTATTCTAATGACAGTTAAAGATCTTACTCTTATTTCCCAGCAAACTCCCTCCAGCTCTTCCTCTTTAGTTAGTATGCCAGTACCAGAAGCCAAGCTGACTCCAACCAATGCAAAAAATGGTCCGGAATCTCCATACATAATTCTAAAAGATTATAAGGTTAGGTTATTATATATTATAGGATATGTTATTTTGCAGCATACCTTCTGGCAGCTTTCTTTCTTAGTTCAGCGGCCAATGTGTTAGTGACTCTGTTGAGGACATTGTCGATGAGGATCCTACGAGCATGGAGTCCCACTTGAAGGCCAACGTTCCTTAGAGCGAATGCCCTCGGTATAACCTGTCTGGAGTTGGAGGCCCCTTGGAGGGGCGCGCTCTGCTGCACTACATTAATTTTCTCCGCAATATTGCACTTCGTGTTGATGTCCCGCTTGCACAAAAGTTTGACATAGGTCTGACCATGTCTGAAGAGCCGAGTGCCGAACGCACGAATAGACATCTTCGTTTGCGCCCCGCGAAGACAGAACCTTTCCGTGGACAAAACGCTCAACACAACCCTTCACTTCGCTCCTTTCTTTTCACTGGCGGCGCACTAAGTTTTCAGGAATATTTGCAACAAGTGAAAAAACTGCGACTCGATCTGACATCGCGACATTCAATTTTCAACTGTTCTATCTAGGACATACGGCTCATTCATATGAAGTGTTACTTTTGTTCTTAATCACAACCCATCAACTACCATTCCACATACAAACTAAGGCAAATTTATTAGAAAATACTTCAATACATTTCTATTACATTAAAAATAGTTTTCTTACATTTTATATATTATTTAACGTAAGTCTGAGCGCGTTTCTACCACTTGTTCTATTTGCGGATACCATAGACGTAACGTGAAATAATAAAATTTTGACTCTAAAATAATTATTGCAAAGTAATCTAAAATCTTTAGCCTTATGGTTATACTGTATCATAAAATCTGATACGAAAGTTGGTAGGTTCGAATCTCACCAATATTAAAAAGATAAGCACCGAAAGTGTGGCAGAAAAAATAAAAACAATATTAAACCATCAAAACAATTAAACGAATAAATAACTAATATTCTGGGCAGTATTGTTTTGCTGATAATATTATGTATATACTACCACAAATAATTATATATATAAAAATTATATATATTAAACCATCAAAACGGAAATAGTGCAACATAAAATAAATAATAAAAACCATAGATGTAAGAAAATATAGTGTAAAGTATTACGCATGCACGCGCACTATTTATTTACTTATTTTTTATCTTCCATATGGAAATTTTCATGTATATTATCAATATCCATTTCTGGATCTTCCATAATATTTTCAGTTAACTTTTATTGTAATTATCTCCAAAACGAAGATTACAAACCCTCACATTTCTTTTAATATGCTCGTTGCTCATGCTAATCAAAGAAGCATTCATTGTGACCATTTTCCGTTGATCAAACAATTGATAATCAACTGCTGGAAATCTTCTCATTTTATTACGATGATTTTCATTGGTATTGCATCCTTGGACACAGTATGATCGAACATACATACATACAAACCAGTTAAAGAACAATTACCTACTTGCTTCATTCTTGGAATGAAACACAAATTTTCTAAGTAAAGAAAAGATTTCATACGAAATCTTCTTCTCTCCTAACTGTGGTGAGCGAGATACTGCCAACTGCCTTGAGAACTGACTCTGCTGGAGAGAATGGTGAACAACAGGTGGCGATTTTCAAACCGGCTTCGGCCAGCTTCGGCGGTTCAGCACGGTTTCAGAGAAACCTCAGGAGGACATTGATTAGTTTTCACTGGAAGGTGTTAGGTCTATATCTCTGTTGGCTGTTTTCATGAACTTAATAATCGCACTGTATACTACTACGTTTTCTACGTCTATTAAACAATTAATCGACGCATTCTGTAGCTGCCTATAAAGTTCTTCTGAGGCTAGCAGGATATTTTAATGGCTCAAAGAGCAAGAGCTCGCAAATAGCAACCAATGTATGAAAAGTAAACACAATAAAGAAAATTTTAAATTGAAAAAAAAATGAAAAGCAGGATCTTAACACAATTATACGACCTTATACGATTGTGCAATTTCTGATTTTCTTATGAAACATATCCTCTCAAACTACAGCTGTCTACTAGTTGTTTCGATGAAACCATAGTACGAGACTCCCTTGTATGAGGTCCTAATATGAGGGAAAATGTCACTATAGTGAACCTATAGTGATACTTCTGTCAATGACCGTAAAAAAATTATATAAACCACTAAGTTTTAGCATATTGACAAATTTGTAACTTGAAATCTGAAATTTTTCTGAATAATAATTTTGATTGCATGTTACGCCACTGGGTAAAACGTAATTGGCAAATAATCAGGCGAACTTTGCCCTAGATTTTATTATTAAAACAAATGCACGTGCATCGAGAATCTAGGGTCCGGGGAAAATCATATAATCAATAATACGAAATATTACATAATTATCGAAGACTTAATAAGGGAAACGCAATATAATTTCTATTATTGCCAAATTACTATTTTATCGCAATTAACGTTTGTTTTAATGGAAATAATTAATGAGATGTGATTACAAAATAAAATTTAAAAAAAGCGGGAATCCTAGAGCGCGCTGCTGTCGCGTCAGTTTGACATAGCGTCACAGTAATCACAATTCTTTTCGAGCTCTGTCAAAATACCGAAACAGTGGGGGCAAAACAACATATGTAATGGAGTGAATTCGTTGCAAGAAAGCTACTCATAAATTCAGTGTTTCCATATTTTCATTCCATTTGGAGGATCGTCAGAGGAAACTGTCGCAACAAATTCTTTGTCAATTTTGCCTACTGTCATCAACTTCTGTGCCATGGACGTATAACTGCTATGCAACATTCCCCACTGACAACAACATTCCCACAGACAAGCCGCTTCTGAGCAGTTAGAGGAATATAGTCATTAAAGAGAGTGAGAGATGTCAAACAGAAAGCCAAGCACTGCCACAGCAAGGCTCAAGCAGGACTACTTGAGGCTGAAGAAGGATCCTGTCCCGTACATCACAGCTGAGCCACTTCCAGCCAACATTCTGGAATGGTAATTGCACTAAGTTCTATTTTATGATTGATTGTTAATATTAACCTTGTTTTTTGTTTTTAGGCATTATGTGGTTTGCGGGCCAGAGGGAACCCCATATGATGGAGGCTACTACCATGGGAGGCTCATATTCCCAAGGGAATTTCCATTCAAGCCCCCATCCATCTACATGATCACTCCAAGTGGGAGGTTTAAAACCAACACAAGATTATGCCTGAGCATATCCGATTATCATCCAGACACTTGGAATCCAGCATGGAGTGTCTCAACAATCCTTACTGGTCTGCTTAGCTTTATGGTATACAATTAACACAATTAAACATCAGCATTGTTACTACTATGTTTGTAATTATTGTAGATTGAGAAGAGCCCCACATTGGGTAGTATTGAGACGTCGGACTATGAAAAGAAGCAGCTGGCTTTTCAGTCGATCGATTACAATCTGAAGAATAACCTGTTCAAGGACCTCTTCCCAGATATCACGAGCAAAATGCAAGTAAGTGTTTTTTACACATTGAATAACATACAATGTTTCTGATTACGCATTTTCTTTTGGAAGGAGGAATTGGTGCAGCGCAAGGAGGCCCAGCTGACGGCGCAGGCATCTCAGAGCCAAAGGAAAGTAAGTTCTGATCAGACGAACATCCAAAGCTGTTTTTGGAACTTTATCTTAATAGTAGGTTTCGCGGCGTTCGCCTATTCCGTGAAATACGTTATGATCAGCTCGGATAAGCAATGAATCTTTTTAATTTCGTTATGAAAAAGAGGGGAAATGGACGGGTTCGTGGATCACAGTTACCACTAAAAAAAAGTATAATTTTGAGAAACAAAAATGAAAAACAAAAAGAAACTCGATTTCATTGCCTGCTTTGATACAATAAATATATTTTGTTTTATATTTGATTATAAAGCGATTCATCATAGTTAGAGTATTTTATTTTGTTTTCCTTATTTGGATAGTTGATTAACTTCAATTAACATTCATCTTTTGTTTTCTATATTTTTTTAATTTATATATAAACAAAATATATATATATACTTGAATATGTTTGTGGTAATGAACTATTGATAAGAAATGTTTGTAGGATAGGAGGAAGGGGATAAAAAGATGAATTATACTTGTTGGCTTTATTAAGGTAATTAATTGTATATATTTAAGAATACAGATACATAACAATTCCAACATAATTAACATCCTATATAATAACTCTAAAAAAAACAGTATATGTATTAAATTTGTAAAACCTTAATAAATTGAAACTATCTATATGTATTATGCAACTATGTATTTTTTTATATCTTTACTTTAAAATTGTATTTTTTTCGTGATTTATTTTTTATTAATAAATATTCTCTTAAATGAAAAATAAAAAGTTAATCCTAGCAGAGCATGGTTTCGATCCACGGACCTCTGGGTTATGGGCCCAGCACGCTTCCACTGCGCCACTCTGCTCTTGGTATCTGCAAGTACCAAAATGCCGTTTACTAATCACTTCATAAATTATTCAACAATATTAATTAATTTGTTTAGATTGTAGAGTAACTTTTAAATTATTTAATTAAAAAATCGAAATTATCATGCAACTTTGGTTGCCTACCCACAATAAACATAATATTATTATTTTCATTCATTTATTGCATCAAATATTTCCAATTTTATTATAATACCAATTATTTCTTAAGTTAAATGTCTAATTTTATATGAATTAAATATCAAAGGTAATTTTATTAGGTTTGGTCATTACGTTAGAATTATTCTCAAAGGAATGCAATTAACGAATAATTAACCAGTTAAACAACATACTAAAATCTAACGGAATTTTATGAACCAGTTTGTGTCTAATATTTAATATTCGAATTGTTATTTTTGTTTTGATTTTAATTCAAATTTGATAAACTCTTTAGAAATACATGTAAAATTGTAGAAAAACAATTGCGAATTTGTTACCATAAAAACAAATTCAAATGTTCATCGACCTTTTGTTGTTTTTATTGAACTTGACTCTTGTTAATTTAAAAAATTAAGTCTGATATTTATATAATTTATAGGCTATACGTAGGTTTCTATTTAGATGATGCAATTTATTTTTATTGATGGAAACGGATTGAAGATCATTGCTCTCTCTGCGAGACGAGCAAAATGTTATTTTAATATTTTGCGAATTATTGAAGCGACTAGAATCGAACTTTTCGCGTGATTGAGTATTAATAGAGATTGGGTCTTCCTTTAATTGTGCCTGACGTCGACGGAAATAGCGGACGCCGGGCGTCGCGACGTTCGCCATTCGCGGTGCGAGCATTCGACGCGGTGCAGCGTTTCCGAGATAAATCTTGCGCGGAATTTGTTTTGTTGTTCTGAAATAGAAAGGTTAAGGTTGTTTTGGTATTGTGTGCATTGTGCCAAGGTTTTAGATTGCGATGAGCGAGTGCGTGTCCCTTCTGATGGATGAATTCATCCGCGAAGACATGAATCTGCTGGACGTTCCGAAATCGTTGAGCTGCAGCTCCAGCGACATGGACATTCCCATCTACTCTTCGGATAGCTTAACGAGGAGAAGACTTTCTAGAGAAACAGCTGTAAGTGAAGAAGATGTGCTGTTGTACGTCTCTTCTGTTCGTCCGTCTTTCCAAATTTAGCGCGCGTTTTGGAGGGTTCTTGCGCGCTTTGTAACAGCAGCACACACACCCATCGCCGTCGACCAATGGCGAAGCGGAACGTGGACGAGCCCCCTCGCACGTAACCATCATCGATCGCCGAACTCTTTCCAAAACGAAATTACGTGCTTTGTCTCAGGCAAAGAAGGGATTAACATACAAAATAATAAATAAACCGGTTATTTTCTTTTGCCCTCTTCCCTGACGCAATACTCAGGGTGTGACGTCGACTAATTGGAATTCCACGTGGTGACGTGGCGTACTCCGATTGGCCTAAATCGGTGGCGCGGCTGGAGGCACGTCTTCGAGGTCATTTGAAAGTCATTCGCGCCCGGATCCTTCACCAAACGAATTCCACGAATCATCAGGTAAAACTCATTCTCATAACTCGCAGCTATTTGTTTGCTCTCTGCGTTATCTTCTTTTTTACTTGCTTAAAACGCACGTGCTTTTCGTTCGTATTTTAAACAGGAAATCAAGCTTAATTCTATAATTTTATACATCATCCTCCCTTCAAGATATCGATTTTTCATGACCTACTCACTAAATTACTTAATAAAGTAATATATTAAAGAATCAATTGTTTCTCTTTTCTATTTCAAGCTTATCCACTAAATTTCCTTTTAATGACAAATATTTAATTGAAGCATCAATTGTATTTTTTTTTCTTTTTCAAGCAGCGAAGCATGGATAGAAAAGCGGTAAGGCATAAAGTTTACATAAACGAAAATTTGAAATTATTTTTTAACTATTTTTCTTCATGTATATTATTAATAACTTTCTTAAAATATTTGTATTAACTCAAGTCCTTAATAATCATTATTCAGAATATTCCAATTGCTATTTTTACAATTGAAATGAGTTTAAATGAAATATAAACTTCAAAATGATTAAGTAATATTGAATTTTGCGATTATTCATGAAATAAGTATGAATTTATCTAAAATATCGTATTTATTTAAATTTTGAACTGTCAATTCATAAAATGTCACTTTTACCAAATCAAACTGGCAAAAGATGAAAGAAATGAAACCCTTTTAAATAAATTGTTAAAATACTATAATATATATGAAAAGTAACAATCAAAATTTAACATTAATATAGATATTTATAATGAAGCTTCCAAATAACATTTTTATCAACTGTTTTAAATCTAAAATTCGATTACTGCAGTTGCTTTCGTTGTGTCGTACTCCCATATTTGTTTAATGTTTATCTGTGCGACTTGAAATATACTTTATTTTTATAGAATACTGCAAGACGTTACATAAGTACGTCAACATTTGACGTTTTAATTAAATCCGATTAAAATAACGGGAAATAAAACACAAATCGTCACGAAATGTCACCGGTTGTCAAAAAGTGACGTTGCTTCGAAGTGACATTTTCTTATTTAATTTATTGATAAGTTTCGTCGTATTATAATTATTATTCTTCATAAATATTTATAAATATAATTTGATTATTTTTTAGGAATTTTTTTAAACGCGTAAAAAATATGCAAAAACACATGATAATTGAACGTAATTTTTGTGAGTTGGAAACCAAAAAAAAATATTAGATTTTTTGTGACGTTTCGTTTGACATCTTGTTTATTTGAATTATTTTATTTATATGAATTGTGGTTAAATAACTTTTGAAATATGTCAAATTATATAAAAAAAGAAACCAACAACAAAACTTTTATGAATTTAATTAAATTTCGTTCTGTATATGCACAAATTGCTGAAAATAATGGATGTACAGTAGTCGATATGCGAGTGACCTTAAATGCGCGAAGGTCAATTTGCATTGCAAAATGCATTTAATACGTGACCGATAAACGTGAGCTGATATTGAGACTTGAACGATATTTTACCGCAAAAGACATTGTACGTATTTGCTAGAGCTAAAACGCATTGAAAATTCTTTGAAACTTACGAATAGTTTACACGCGTTATCTACGTTCTACAACAACTGTCGTAAATGAAAAACGAAAGATGCAATTTTTTCAAAAACAATAATTAATTTATTATATTTACTATTTGATTTACACTATTTGATACACTTACCTCAGTTTGGATTCGTTTTACGATCGTGGCGTCGTAAAATGAGTTTTTGGTGTTAAATAACTAAAAAAAAACTTAACATTATTTTTTATTCAATTTCACCATAAATAAAACATATAAATTTATGTTTTTTTGGTAATTAATCAATTTTTTGATTATTTGTACTATGATTTCGAATAAGTTTAAATGGGATTAAATAGAAGATTTCGTTACAGAATTGTGTAATGTAATTGACGATTTTTTCGTAACCTCAATATCACTTTCACCGTTGCGCCATTGTTTTGCATATGTTTTTTTTTGTGACCCACGCACACTTATCAATTGAAACAATCTACAGTCACAGGAAATATGGGTATTTCACTGTGTTGAATTTGTACTGAATTTATTTGTAATACCTTTACAATATAAAATTTATCTGCATTCAAAATAAGTTCGAAATAATTATGTGTTTATATATTGAAATATCTGTTTAGAACGTATTTTTTTATATCGAAATCCCGACAACTAAAATCCCGACATAATAGAAATCGTGAAAACCATAATACGGACTTTGATATTACATTTTCAGGAATTGCGAATTTGTTGCGGTTGTAATTTCGATTTTGTTTTGGTTGTGGAAATACCGATGATATAAATTGATTTCTCGAATTTAATTGAAATAAAGTTTAATCATTTTTAAGCTAAATGTATGTTACACTTTGATTTACACTATAATAGAAAAATGTTATTGATATTTGACTGATTTTGACTGATTTTGTCTATTTTTATATATTTTTTTTTACTTTAAATTTATCAGATATCAATAAGCACTAGTCAGTTCAAATATGATAATAACATTTTATATACTTTTTATATTTCCAAACTCAATTTCCGATATTAAATATTCTTAAAATTTATTCAAATTGCCACAAATTACTCATAAAATATCATAATTTTTGAAAATGTATTTATATTGATATTTGTATTCACTAGTTGCAGTAAACGCATTTAAAACTTATTAACGAAATTGTTGATTTATTGTTTTCAAAATCCATTCTGGAAATTCAATATATTCAAATTGTCTTTAAAGTCTCATCAATTAGTCTTACCACTTACCATTAATATTTCAGATAATATAATAATATTGATATTTGTATGCTTATTTTGAAACTTATTAACCATATTGATAAATTCTTAATGTTAACTTCAATTTTCATAATCTATTCTGCAAATTCATCAATTACTCTTAAAATGTTATATTTTAAGAAAATTAGGTAGATACGAATACTAACTATACTTTGAATAAACTCAGTTCAAACTGCACAATATATATACATATATTGATATATTAACATATTAACAACATTTTTTCTAAACTTGATTTAGAAAATAATATCTTCTCAAAAGTTTCATTAAATTTTCTGAAATTACTCCTAATATATTATATTTTCATAAAATGTAATTAAGTGAATATCTATTTGACCTGCAATTTTAGTAATGTTTAAAATAATCCTCAATATCTCATAAAATATCTCTTAAAATGTTGTAATTTCAGAAAATGTACGTACTTTACGTACGTAGAAAATTGATAAATTCTTAATATTTAGAACAATTTTTCAAAACTCGGTTTCAAAAATTATTTATTTTCAAATTATTCATTAAATTAGCTGAAATTGCTATTAAAATATTATATTTTCAGAAAATGAATTTAATTGTTTATTTGTATGAACTCTACGTTTAGTAAACGTAAATTAAACTTGATAAATTCTTCTATTTTTAAATTTATTTCTGGAAATTCCTTATTTTCAGCTTATCCTCAAATTCTCTACATAAAAACATGTATTATTGTCAGTATTTTGTTGTTATTAATAAAAATAATTATTATATCAAGTTAAAGCAAGTTGCGAAAAGTGGAAATTTGCATATGCATAGAGTTTTTCTAAAGTTTGCATCAATGGAATCATCGATTGAGAGTTGTGGAGTGAATGAGCGTGCAAAAAAAAGGGGGGCTTTGGATCGTCGGACAAAGTGTCCACGCTTTGCGTGGGGATTCGCTCGCAGCACGGACATTAAAGCGAACAACATTGAAACACACCAACAACAACTTTCGCGCGTTCTCTTCTACGATTTCTCTTCATTCCTTCACCAACTGTTGACTTTTGCGCTTCGATTCAAGTTCGATTTGTGTTATGCTCTAACATCAATCAACGAGCAATGGGAAAAAACGTCAAGGTAAGTGCAGCACACCAAACAAACGATGAACCAAACAAACCAAGAAAAAAACGCATCGCATCATTTCGATAATTACGTCTAATTTTAGACGTGAAATCGATACGTACTTTAAAAAAAAAAACAACATTTAACATCATCATTTCAAATTAAAATTTAGCGCTTCTTTTTTATTTCGTAACGACTATAATCGTGCACTTCCGGTCCCCGCTTGATAGCAAAACTATAGAGCTCTTGCGAACAACTCCACACACTTCAATGGGGTCATACAACTTATGGTTACCAAGGTTACTCTTTTGTCTGTGAACTCGTACTCATTTAACAAACGCACACGCATGGTGCGAGTAAAATATGATTTATTTAATAAATTAATTGATACATTAAAAGCAGTGTTTATTTGAATCCAACACAAATCGATATCAATCAATCAATTATCGCTCGACCTTTTCGAGACCTTCTCAGCAATTTTCGCACAATCAATTAGTAAACCAAAAATAGTTTTCAAGAAACAAAACCACATTCATTTAATCCGCAGCAAGGATATTCTGTTTCACGAACAGTTCTAAATATATAATTAACGGACTTTTTCAAACAGATGCTTTTAATTATACACAATTTTTTTTAATTTATTTTAAATCTTCATCCGTTTTACTCATTATTTCGATTGCATTTTATGTAAGAAACAACTTTTTGTTTGTTGTTTCAGCGGCCGAGCACGAAATTAAGGTCAGATTGACCAATCCAATGCTTCGCGAAGGCCAAATGTGATCGCAACCTCAATTATTTACTTTAGTTTCATAGATTTTAAAACGTTATTAATAAAACTTGATTCGATTTCGTTGTCTCCACTTAAGACGAGTTATGTAATTTGTTTCATTAGATAATTTTGTTCGTTGGACCGAAATCAACTAATAAATTACGTGATTCATTAAATATTTGCCCGACAACCAAATTCTACTTATTAATCAAATTTATTCAACTATTCAAACTAGTATTCGCTTCTTTATCGCATCTCTTTGTGCTTTAGAAAGTATATAGAAAATATTTGTTGACTTTGACATTGACATTTGATAAGAAAAAAAATGTGTGGTTATTTTTGTAACAAAACGAAGTATTTATGATATTCTTTAACATTTCCAAATACCAACATTTGTTGATAATTATTAGTTACTTTTCTTAATTTCAGTAACAATGTTAAATTCTCAAACAGATATTCACAAGGAAAATGTACTTTTTATTTCTAGTTTTAGCCACTTTTTTTTATTTCAATTATTAGATGTAATTGTTTATTATTTGTTTTTCACAATAACATAATTGTTTTTTTTATTTAAGTATTTAAGCGAACTTTTCAAATAAATGCATACAAATTTGACATTTATCAAATTGAAAACATTTTATATTGACAATGACATATTGAAGTTTTTAAGAGAGAATAATGACGTAAAGTAAAAACATTAAAATTTGGCTTTTTAAGTTCATGTTTAAATATGTGTACGAACTTAAAAGTATTGATAATAGCTTTGTAACTGATAAGTGTTTGCGTTTTAAATTATGATGAGCTTCTTGATTTTTGAATATTTGCTCAAGGTGTTGTCTCTTCGTTCAATTAAAACCATCGAACAGCGTTTTTTTTTCATAATTTCATTAACGCGAATTGCTACCGTTTAATGTGTTCCAGAACACTCGCATTGAGTATTCTCTGTAATGCGAATGGAATCGTCGAAAAACTAATCATCAAAGTACATTACAAAGTTCAAAATTCGAAATGTAAGTTGTTGCACGGCTCCTCTACGTAAGGAACACACCCACTGCAATCGCTGAGATAACGCATTAGACGTGCCTCCGATGCGCTGCGATCGGAAGAGAGGTCTACGGCCCTCCGAGTCATTCATTCATTCAGTAGATTTCCAAACGGTGAAGACTGCACACACATGCGACAATACTCTAAAAGCAGCAAGCAATAAATAAAGAACAGAAGCATCGTGTTCAGTGGGTGTCCACAGTTTTATCATGAAAGACAACGAATTGACCACGATCAACTTTAACGCGGAAACCTCGCCGCCCCAAAAACCGAAAGAATCTAAAGCTGTAAGTTTTAAAAAAACAGACCAAAAACTTTAAAACAATTGAATTTCTCTTTGAAATTTTCTTTACTATCAAAATGGAAACAATTAAAATATACATATTTAATACATTTCGTAAATTAATAAAGATTTATTTTTTAATTATGACATTATGTGCGTTACAAAAATATTTTTTAACTTTTTTTGTTGAAAGTGATTGATGAACGTTACGAAATACTTTTATGGGCGCATTGGAACGTGCTCCAATTCCGATTCGATTAGTGATTTATCTGCGATTTATATAAAAAATCAAGGATTCGATAAGAAGATTTCGTTTTTTTTTTCAATAGTTTTCAATACAAACGAAACGCACTTGAAAACGTTTCAATTCAATTCGAAACAACTTATTAATATAATAACATTGTTTTTTTTTCGTGTGGACATAATCATAACTAAATATAGAAACAACTATTTTCGCTATTAGCGTGACCAACTGGAAGTCAATTTGTTAGAAATAGCATTGAGTTACAGTAATTTCGCTTTGAATTATAAATTCAATTTATAACTTATTATATTCTTAGTTCCTTTTTTCTAAAATGCTTGGATTTATTAAATCGGGTTTCAATTTTTCATAATAATAAAATCAAGGTTTTACTTAATGTTAAATTTATGCAACCATGTTGACATTTAACAAATAAATTTAATTAGCACACGCAATAATTTAGATTTGTAAATGTCAATTGCATAATTTTTCATTTAATCCTGATATCAAATTCTCATGTGGATTGCGAAAACAAACGGTTATCACAATTAACCTGAACATTATTATATTGAAGTACCTCAGAAATCGTTTCGCTATTATCAACAATATTATTATTATTGCGACGTGGATTATCGTGTTTTCGATTGTTTGCAGATTGCGTTTGCACACGTAATTATCGAGGGTGGAGCGTTGGCAAACATGTTTTCACGATAATCTGTACATTGGTTTGCCATTGCATTGATTGTTGTTTTTGTATGTGTACAGGGATTTAATGCCAAATTGGCGTTTGCCATTATCGCGGCCGCTTTGGGATCGTCCTTTCAGCACGGCTACAATACAGGAGTCCTCAACAATCCACAAACGGTAAAGTATATTCTAAGCATTGAATATAGATTGATTTCTTCATTTGTAGATTTTCAAGTTTGGTTTTGGTAATTTGAATTTTGATATTATTCTGCCTGTATCATAGGCAACTAAATATACATGTTGTAAATATATACAGGGTGTTTCACTTTCTTATAAATTGTTTTCTTAATGTCACAACTTGAATAATCTAAAAAATGTATTTTTCTATTCATACTTATTGCTTGTTGTCAACTTGTTTAATATTGTTATTATGTGTAGTTGATTCAATCATGGATGTCGTCTGTGATAACGAACAGGACGGAGGGAGAGGTTCCGAGCCAATCGCATATCACGATGCTTTGGTCCATTGCGGTTTCAATCTTTTGCATCGGCGGTATGATTGGAGGTGTAATGACAGGTAACGAAGGATTTTGAATAATTGTAAAACAGCTTGCCTAATGTGTGAATTTTGGTTAACAGGATACGTGGCAGATCGTTACGGTCGAAAGGGCGGTTTACTGATCAACAATATTCTAGTGGTTGTAGCTGTTATTCTGGAGGGTGCTTCGAAAAGCGCGGGATCCTTTGAAATGATAATCTTGGGTCGTTTCTTCATCGGCATCAATTCCGGCCTGAACGCCGGTCTTGCGCCCATGTACCTTGCCGAAATATCCCCAGTGAATCTGCGTGGAGCCGTAGGCACGGTTTACCAACTGGTAATCACCATTTCCATCTTGATTGCTCAAGTCCTTGGTTTGAATTCCTTACTGGGAACGGAGGACCTGTGGCCTACGCTTCTTGCCATCACCGTGCTGCCATCTATCTTCCAAATGTTCACGTTACCTATCTGCCCGGAATCGCCTAAATACCTTTTGGTTGGCCGTGGCAAGGAGATTGAGGCGCAAAGGGCTTTGACTTGGCTCAGGGGACCTTCGGTTTCGGTTCAGGACGAGATGGATGAGATGCGGGCTGAATACGAAGCCTCCAAATTGGTGTCGAAAGTGACGATTCGCGAATTGCTGACCAACAATTCCTTGAGAATTCCATTGATAATCTCCGTTGTCATCATGTTGGCGCAACAGTTCAGCGGCATCAATGCCGTAATGTTCTTCTCCACGCAAATCTTCATGGAAGCCGGTTTGACTGCTGAAAACGCTTCTTATGCAACCATGGGTATGGGCTCGATTAATGTGTTGATGACCATAGTTTCGTTGGTGCTCGTCGAGAAAGCCGGCCGCAAAACCTTGCTGCTGATTGGCTTCTCCGGAATGGGAGTGGTCACGCTTCTCCTCACATTCGCTATGAGCTTCTCGGTAAGCCAATAATAATGTTCATAAAAAAAACTCATCTAACCGTAAACTCTAAACTTTCAGAAAGAAGCAGTCTGGTTAAGCTATCTCTGCATAGTGCTCATCTTGGCCTTCGTTATCATGTTTGCAACCGGTCCAGGTTCGATCCCGTGGTTCTTGGTATCCGAACTGTTCAATCAATCCGCGCGTCCAGCAGCGACATCCCTAGCAGTTGCAACCAACTGGGCTGCCAATTTCCTAGTCGGATTAGGTTTCTTGCCGCTTCAGGTGAGCCAATCTCATTCTTCAAAATCATTGAACAAAAAACTAATTCCAATTTTGTTTCTACTCTAGGATGTAATGCAATCGTACGTCTTTATCATATTCACGGTCATCATCGTTCTAACAGTGGCGTTCATCTACAAGAAAGTACCCGAAACCAAGAACAAAACCATGGAGGAGATTTCGGCCATGTTCCGGCAGCAGTCCTACCAATAAAATGAATAGGAAACAAAATACATAAAGAAAAGACATAAAACATCGCTGCCATTGTAAATATTTCGCGATTCGCAAGGCTTCGCTTCGCGTCTAGTCTGTGAAATTCAAATTTTAATTTAAGATTAGTTTTGTAAGGAATGTAATATATTTATATATTTTATTATAAAAAAAAACGAAACAAATAATTACTAAACAGTCTTTTTGTTATAATCATCATCACGTTTGTATTTCCGAAACGTAGGCTGCGTTCACTGCACTCATTTGCATTTGTTGCTGTTGTTGTTGTTCTAATTGCCGACGGTGGCGGCCTCTTTGCACATGATTGCCCATGTTTTTACCGCCAGAAAAGTGTTCGGTTATTTGTCCCAAAGTTTTTCCTTCCGTTTCCGGTAGAAAGAAATAGAGGAAGATCAATCCTAAGAGAGAGAGGGATGCGTTGAACCAGAAGACTCCTGGTAACGTTAACGTTGAGATCATTCTTAAGAAGACTTTGTTCGAGAGAAAACCGAAGACGTAACCGATGGCTCCGGCCAAACCGGAAGCGCCGGCTCGTATATCGTTCGAGAAAACTTCACCTGTTAATATCCACGGAAGAACGCGGATTCCGGCGTGAGTAACGAAAGCGGCTAAAACCAGAAACACAAGAGGCATCCACGAGTACTCGTGGTATACCTCCTCCAACCCAACACCGGTTGTTGCGTTGTTGCTAGGCAACTCTAAGTTATTTACGTCTATCATGTAGGCGTAGGTGGCGACGGCCGTGAAACAAATACAACTTCCCGCTAGAGAAATGAAGTTAAGGACGCGTTTACCGATGTAATGCACCAAGATCACGCAGAACAAACAACCGCACAGCTCGACTATTCCCAGCATAACGGTTGCATAGTACTTGTCGATAGGCACGTGGAGGCTAGAGAAGATCTGGATGGAGTAAGTTTGAAGAGTAGTCATTCCGTTGAAGTGATGTAGAAAGAATATGAAACTGATCAGCGAGTACGGCCAGAAAAAGTTCTTCTTTCCGAAGAGCTTGATGGTTTCCAGTTTCGAACGTTTCGGCACTTCCTTTCCGTTCATGTTACCATCGAATTCCTTTCGTTTAACTTCCTTATATACCTCCTTATACTCGTTTTCTATAGCTTCCATTGTAGTCCAACCCCTCAACCAAGCCAAACTCTTTTTGGCTTCGTCGTTCCTATTTTTTGAGATCAACCAGTGAGGAGATTCCGGCACGAAGAACAGCAATATGAAGGAGACCACATTGAAGAAGGTGCATATAAAAGCGACTGTCCTCCAATGGAAAAACGTCCCCAAACAAAACATCGTGAGCACGCCACTGATCACAGCAAGAGTCGAAGTGGATGAAAGCATTCCTCTCAAATTCGGTTGAGCGATCTCCGCCACATAAGTTAAAACCTTAAAGTTTACAACATTTTATCACCACAATGAACAGTAAATGCAATAATTAAAACTTACGGGAGCTTCCAAGAAACCTCCGGTGAGTCCTGTCAACGCCAGCGCGACGAAGATTTGATAAGGGGCGGTGGCGAATCTGAATATAAGCCACGCCCCGATGAACGGCAAGTTGACCAATTGCATGGCGCGCTTTCTACCGAGGGTGTGCGATATCGTCCCTGATATTAGGCAACCAATTGGAACACTTATCAAATTGATGGAACCTTTAATTTATAATTTTTATACAATACAATTAATTATAAATAAATTTATTTATTACCAATCCAGGAAACTCCATCGGTGTCCACGTGCAATTCTTCATTTTGATCGCTCAAGCCTGGTATCAGGATAGTCGGAAAACCTAGAGTTAAACCGAAAGCTACAAGAAGGATATTCTTTACCGTTACTGCTAACACCTGCGGCAAGGATTGCCTCGAGAAACCCTGAAAAATAAATTCTAAGTTAATTGGGTTGCATACGGAATAATAGTAATGAATACGTCATTATACAATAATAGCTTCAATTTAAAAAATTGTGGCTGGCGAAATTGTGCAACGGCATAAGTAAAATAAAACGCAAAGAAGAAAATTAAAAAATAACTATATATTACATGTAAACAATTTCTATAATGGTATAGTAAAAACGTGTAATCTAGATGAACCATAAATTCTTCTAATTGTGTGCATATTTCTAACTTTATATATAGTCAACGTTAATTGAGTTGCATACTTACATAATCTACAAAAGACTCAATCCATAATACAAGTTTACATACATTTGTATCATGGTCTTAACCATATAATTTGCTAATTAAACGCTTAATTTAGAAAAAAAAACAGACATTAACAAAATTGTACATAAAAACCAAAGTGTAATTTGAAGAAAAAAATGGTGAAAACGTTCAATTCAAACAGAATACATGAATAGATATTTAAATTTAATGAGAATGCTTGCACAATTGGAAGACCATTTGCCAACGTTTACTCAAATTATATACATTTTATTTACCTCTAAAGTATTTACTTATTTTTTGTTTATTTTTTTTAATATTACTTGATTTTTTTGTATTGTTTATAATTTTTTTTTTCGTATTACATAACATAATTAAACTTATTTAAAATTAATTATTGAAAATAAAATATGTCTTTTCATTGTACTTATTGTCATAATTGTGCGCACTTTTCAAGCATTTTTTTTTATTTGTGCACGATAAAGTTTTATTTCCCGATAAGCACCGAAACCAAATTCGCTTACAAAGGAAAAAAAAACGTATAATTTGAAAATTCCGTGCAACTTACGTAACGACAAATTCAATACCATCAGACAATTATAGAGCAAATAAAGGGGGAACATCCGTTTTTTTTGTTTTAAAAAGCCGCAACGAGTAAGTAAACACTATTATGTGCGCTTTTCTAAAGATGAAGAAATAAATAAAAACTAGTTATTACATTGCATTTTAATGGAGAGTATAGGACTAATTATGTTTGGAAATCCTTAAAGAAAAATGCTTTGCGGTTTGTGTCAAATGCAGGACTTCTCTTGAAGGTCGATCAAGTTCGACACGATTTCCAATGGGATGCAAAGACCTTTCACGCCTCGTCATGGACAGAGAAAAATGTGCGTCTCGTTTATTGAAATGTTCGATGAATGTTCAATTATTGCGATAACAATATCTCAAGTCTGTGACCCTCCGCGAAACACTGACGGTTTGTTGTTGTTGTTTTTTTCTCTTCTTTTTTGTTGATCCAATGACTGGAGAGACTCACAGAGATCGTGATCTTAGGTCGAAGGAATTACAAATCCAAAGAAAAGTAGTAACCTCAAGTTGACAAGAAAATAATCGAGCAACAATAATATTTTTGTCAACTTTATTAAAAATATTTTTTTTTACTTGTACACATACGCTAATTAATTGGTCGTTAATTTATTTTCAATTTTGTGTTATTTATTGCGCGCACGAATATCTGGGAAAAACCTGATGAAGTTTGAAGAAGATAATTGTCAATGCTACAATTAATGTAAACGAAACACGCATATTATAATAGTTACAGGTATAGGAAAAATTATCCTATTTTGAATGTCAAGTCTAATTAGTATGCGCGCTGTTGCAATAGAAATTATCAAAGAGCGGTTACATAATCAATAAGTCTAAAATAAAAATTGTTATTGTTTTACGTTTTTGGTTCTGCCTTTGGGCCAACAGGTCCAAAGAAAAGGTTTTGTTGGAGGTTAGAATTTAAAAGTTGTTTGACATTGACACGCTCGTACGTGCACTCTTTGCACGTTCTTCTGTTTCTTCTTGAACTGTATTTTTTTGTGAAGTGGAAATTGCAAAATAATTGCGTTCTTAAACATGGAATGGTAATGGATTTTTAATTTTTGATTTTGATATTTGTTTGTTATTAATTTATTTCTTTTTATATATTTTTTCCTAATAATAATAATCTTTATTAGTTACAATTGTAACCAAAGATCTATCGACCTAAGTCTTTCCGCCATTTTTTCCCTATATTTTGATATAATTGAAAAATATAACCTTGTTTATTTACCTGTCAAAATGACATCTGTCATTGCAGTTTAGAGAATGCATAACCTCGTACAATGCATGTTGTGCAATAGTAATAAAGTTTATAGATTTTCTATTCATTACTCCAAAAATTGGTTCCAGTAATATAATTTACCATTATATGTCAGCAGTGCTAGTAAACATTGACATATTTTATACTTCACTTGTCATTAAACTATTTAAAATTTAAAATTAGTGAAACTATCAAAGATGTCAGTTAAAATGTGATTATGTATTATTAGGTAATATTTAATGAATATTTAATGTTGCAATTACAATTTATTTTGAAAACTTTGTAAAATGTAAATTAAAGAATATTTAAAATGCGAAAATAGCTAAACTAATCTCAATTAATATAATTTGACATATGACAGTTGATTATTGACAGATGAAAATTGAAATTATTGAAAATACTTAACTCATTATGAACTCATTACATCTAAATGATGATAATAATATAATCCAATAAGATTAAGCGAAAAACATTAACGTGCTCGAGTAAATTGCTCGAATTGGACAATTCACTCATCCTACTTAAGACAATCAACGTTGATTTGATTATCATTTAAATTCTTGCTGTCAGAAAATAAACAACAGAAAAAAAAGTCATCTTGAGAAGTTCTTAACCTCAACGAAAAAGGTAATTTACGACTAGCAATTTATTTATGTACTTAACAGATAAATCGTATCTGTTGAAATCTCAGTCATATTATTGTGTTTTGAAAATCTCTTGTTTGCTTTATTTCAGAATGTTGTAAATTTTGAAATCGTCTAAATTTCTTCTTTTGTGCAATGTTATTGTTCCTAATTGATAATAATGAAACTAAATAATTTAAAAAACTAACATTTTATAAAAAAATGTAAAAATTTCTTAATTTATAGTTTTTTCAAAAGTGTCAAGTGGGTGAAAGCAAAAAAAGAAAGAAAATTGTAACATTACTCTAATGATAGGAACAACGCTAAGAGTTTAATTATATGATTTTGAATCTTATAAACTTGTTTATCTACAAATTTATAAGAAATGAGTGTCTATAAATTTTTCACTAATTAGTCAATGCAATTAAAGTTTTTGTTTCGATATTTGTGAAAGTGAACGACCGCTAATTTAATTTATGCACTGGACTGTTTTTAAAGTGATTACAAATTCATTAAATAAAAATAAATTTACAAAAAAACAAAAACATTTTGTAACAGTGAAGTTAACTAATATATTTCCTTCGACTTTAATTATTTCAATAATTAACGTAAATAATCTAAAAATTTAAAGTATGCTCAACTATTTAAGATTTGGTAAGAGACAGTTCATCATTTTCAGATTAAATTTTCTATTAATTAAACGAATTTATTAACCGAAACGTTTAAATCATTTGTTAAAGCTTGTTTGGTCCTAAATGAACCAATAAAACTATATAAATAAAATCGTTAATTGGTTTTAAGTAATTTTCAATTGTTTCACAAAAAACAAAATGAAATGCGAGATCATAAAAATATCTGATATTTGATTATTGCTTCTATTGTTTTGCTTCGAATGAAAAACACATTATTAAATTGTGAATAAATTATGAATAATTCTAAACACTTCTGAGAAAAAAATATTGTGTATGCATAAAGTAAATAATAATTTTGAAGAGAAGAAAAGATAGTCTTACCATGTTTGTGTGTTGAATTGCAATTTAATCCAAAGATGAGACTTAAAAAACAATTTGCATGATGAGTCGATTGATGGGTTTCGAGCAAATCGACCAAAAGACGAAGACTGAACTGTTCAACTTCCAGCGCCGCACTTGATTTCACTTTCTAAACAAACCTCGTCCCCTTCCCCTTCGGACAGCGGCGCTATTTTTTTGTTTCGATTTGTTTTGTTTCTCTTCTTGTTACGTTTTTTTTTATATTTTTTTTTCGCACATAAAAATTGGGCAACACGCGATCTCTCGGATACCAGGAAATATCAAAAAAAAATCCCCCGATTATCTGTCCACGAAATTGGTAGGTGTTAACGGCAAATTACACACGAGATAATCCTTGTAAAACTAATTAGACGAACTCGCGGTGTAGCTTCAATTAATCGCTTCCTCCTCTCGACACTCCAGGCTATATCTACCATAGGAGCAGGCGCAGAAACAATTGACGGGTTGGAAATAAAAGCAAAGCGAAACAACAATAACAACATCATCAATAACGATCAACGGGTTTTTATTGCTTAAATGGAAGAATCGAAATTGGCGAATTTCTTGTAACTGTTTTCGTCGCGAGTCAAATTCACCTGGAACAAATCTTCAGCGGATTCACGTCGGGAGAGTTTTCTCTCACCGATTCCGGCCTCCACCAAAGTCTTTCCTTCCGTTTCCGGTAGAACGAAGAACAGGATTATCAAAGCTACAAAATTTATGGCAGCGTAAAAGGAAAAAACGTGGGTTAAGTTTAGGTATTCGGTGGTTAGTATGAAAAGTTTGTCGGAGAGGAAACTTGAGGTGTAGGCTATAGCAGCGCACAAAGCTGAACCCAAACATTTCCTCTCGTGGCTGAAGATCTCTCCGATCAACATCCAAGGAAGGATTCGGATACCAGCGTGCGAAAATACTAAGAAAATCAAAGTTAAAGTTAATGGTATCCAGCTGGATTCGGATAAAGTTCTTATGTATCCGTAAACCGCAATGGAGGTTAGACACAATGTTGAAAGGATGAGTGTGAGGAAGGTGAGCGGTCTTTTCCCTATAAGATTCACCAAAAACGCGCACAACAAACAACCGACGATCTCCAAAACGTGCACGAAGATCTTCAGAAAAACGACGTTAAGCGAAGAATCGACCATTTTCAAGATCTCGGAATTCGCCGATCCGCCGAAGCTCTGCACCAAAAACAGAAACGTGATCAACGAAAAAGCGGCAAAAAAATTCAATTTGTTATCGCTCTTAACTTCTTTCATCGCCTCTTTGAATTCCTCCTCCACTTCTTCAGCATCCACCCAACCTCGAAACCAAGCTAAACTCTCTCGAGCCTCAATGAAATCTTCTTTTTCAATCAAATATTGAGGCGATTCCGGCAACAAAATAGCCAAATTGAATGCGGCTAAAGGAAACACGAAATTGCATAAAGCCACGTCCCTCCACGTGAAGCAGAAGCTTAGCAAATCCTCCAAAAGAGCACCTCCGATGAAGAAGAGCGTTGAAGAAGCCACGAAGAAACCTCGCAGCTTCGGCTTCGATATTTCGCACGTGTAATGTATCACCTGAATTCATAAAATTGCAACTCTAAATTACATTTAAATTTGCATAACAAATCTCACAGAAGTTTCGATGCATCCCAAAAGGAATCCGAACATTCCTAAACCAAAATAGATTTGCCACAAAGATTTCGAGAATCTAAACAACATCCAACCAAATGCCAATGGAATGTTGGCATACTGCAAAGTTCTCTTCCTTCCATATCTCTTGCACAAGAAACCGGAAACCAAGCAACCGATCGGTACGAAAAATAAATTCGTACTATCTACAAATAAAGGCATACATATCATTATTTTTCATTACTCTTTTATTCGCAACTCACATATCCAAGCCACCTGATCCTCGTTTATCTCTATTATTTCGCTGCTGTCTTCCAAACCGTCTAGGGTGATTCTCGGGAAGGCCCATGTCATTCCAAATCCTACGAGAATCAAATTCTTCACGAAAACCGCAAATATTTGTGGCAACGATTCGCGAAACACGGAAATTTGTCTGAAAATACAACAATACAACGATTGCACTTCTTGCCGTTATAACGCTCACCTTCTTGCCATAATAATAAATAATTTATAAATTGTTTATTTGTACTAACTTAAATTTGTTTTGTTATTATTCGAAGATAAACTATAATGATAAAAATGAAAGAAAAATGATACAAAAAAAACATGAATGTCGCTATACAATATCTGTTTTTTAATATATTTTTTAAAATTAATATGAATAATATTAATTTGTTATGCATTATTAGCTAAAGTTTGTAAACGAATCAAATTATAATTAATAGCTTTATCATAAAATTAATAGCTACCTTTTTTTGATATAGGTAATAGTATAGTTTCAGATGTTAATGAAGTTGCCTATAGTAATCATTTTAAATATTTTTTTTTCGAAAATTTAAATATATACTGATAAAATAATTCCTTTAAAATAATTAGTATAAGATTATAATATAAATTCTTCAACAATACTTGTAAATGTAACATGGTTTCAAAAGAGGTAATCAAAATGTTTGTAATGAGGAATAAATAATATTTAATTTGGAAGCTACTCCCAGTATGGTATTTTTTATTGGTTTCGATCTATTTACATCGTAAATATCAATATTATTTACATTCTTTTGGCTAAAATTCTTCGCTCTTTTTTCTATAATTCATCCCTGACCACGTCGCTGCTAAACTCGGCGTTGATCGGCAGATTCCGCCAGAACTTCGCCCTTTCCATGTACAGACCCGACTCCATTCCGATGTCATCGTGAGCGCCGATGTTCAGATATTCCATGCTTTCAGCGGATTCAACCGGAAGCCATTTCTTGTGGCAAACATCGTCCATCTTCGGCGTAGGATCGCTGAGATTATTAACAAAACATGTAAGCTATCTATTTGATAATTAAGTATTGTAAAGTATTAAGTAACTTGTCAAGTATCAAGCAGAGAAACATTGAAAAATAATGTAAGATAAAATCTAACCTGTCTTTGGCGAAGTTAACCCAAAGAGTGGTCATCAGTTTGGCAACTTTTTTATCGGATTCGGTGTGAGTCTTATCCGGAAACAGTCCGTCGGCAACCGGAAACAGGTACTGCAACTCATCGGCATGGCACACTCCATAATTATTGTGCTTATCCCCAAAAACTTCGCTGAAACTAGCCACTCCGCGATACCCGAAGAGATAGTAATAAATTGGATGCTTAAGGTACTTCTTGTGCAAGGCCACAGCTTGATCCGCTCCATTTAAGAACCAACCATCGGTGTACAACTGAAAACAATGTGTTTAATATTTCAGAAACTTAAAAAATAAAATGTAAACCCACATCAACAACAGCCTGCTTGGTATCGGTATTCAACTCTTTATCTTGGAAATAGTATTGTTTAATATCCTTGGCAACGGTTGAAGGATTTTCGGATGTTTTATCGAAGATCAGCGAAATGGGAAGTTTATTTTCGAAATCTTCGTTCAGCTCTTCGATGAGTTTAGGTATTCCGTAAAGCGCTAAATAAATATAGAAATATTTGGGTAAAAAACCAAAAAAAAATGCGTAATTGGTAATACCTGCTACCCTCAAAGCTCCGTCGTCGCTGTTTAAGCCTACCATCCAACTGACATTTGCCACGTCACCGGATTTAATCAGTTCGATTGGGTGCTTTGTGATGAGCGCTCCCTTGTGTTCCGGTTCGATGACAGGTTTGAACGGAATCATCGGATCTTTATCCCACAACTTGAAAAACGTACAAAAATTAATTGCAACATCTCAATTATTGCATACATTTGGTTTGACTAACCATAAAATCTGAATCTTTGGCGATGATGTCGCGAGCATCGACCTTCCTCAAACACTCAACCATCTTTTTAGTGGAATCCGTGGGACATTTGAAGAGTTTGGCGAGTTTCTTGCTGTTGATCAAACCTTCGTTCTTTGGGGAGAACGCCCACGGGCAGAGGGCCGTTCCACTCTCCGAAATGGCATTACTAAAAAGTCCTGAAAGAAGAATTGATTGATTCAGTATTTGAGATTCAAGAATTGATTATTAATCAATTATCAAGTACCTCTACTTAAAGGTGAAAGCATGTGGTAATGGGCACTGGCTCCACCTGCTGACTCTCCGAAAATCGTAACACTCTTGGGATCACCACCGAATTTCGATATGTTCTCTTGGATCCACTTCAAAACCATAACCTGATCCTTCAGACCGTTGTTACCGGGAACGACTTCATCACCTGTAGTCAAGAAACCAAGAGCACCTGAAACAAAAACAACATTAATTCTGCTTTAATTTGAAGTTAGGTCACACTAGTCTAGCTAGTCATGGAGATTGTAGTTAAAATAATTATAACTTAGGTTAGGTTACAATAGGTTCGGATCAAATAATTTAGGTTATCACAATTCAGATTACAATTGGTTAGGTCAGCGTTTCCCAAACTGTGGGTCGCCACTCACTGGTGGGTGCGAGTCAATTTTTAGTGGGTCACGACAAGATCTTGAATGCATATTTTTATGATTTAAAAATGAAAATTAATAATATATGGGTAAGTAAGTAATATTGGTCGGGGATTAAATGGGTCGCAATGTGTAAAAGTTCAGGAACCACTGTGTTAGGATATTTGAATAATAACTAACCTAATCTGTAGTTGGGAACGACCAATACTACGTCTCTATCCAACAAGATTTCTGGACCGTACCACATGGAGTTTCCGGATCCGCACAGCCATCCTCCGCCGTGCAAGAATATCATAACCGGATACACCTCCGGAGATTCAGCATCCATCTAAAACATTTACTTATATACATCTTCGATTCACTATATAACTCTCAACTATACCAACCCTAGGAGTGTAGACGTTGAGGAAGAGACAATCCTCATCTCCTTCGATAACATCTGTCCTAGTATAAATATTCCTTTGAGGACAAAGCCCGTGCACTTTGGTCGCATCTTTGACGCCGCTCCAGTACGTTGCGGCTACAGGCTCCTATTTAACATAAGATTACAAAAATAAACTCATTATTGAAATAATAACGAATAAACAGCAAGAAGTAACAAAAAAGTAATAATTAATGTGATTTGCGGTGAAACAAACGCAAAACCAATTAAAAATTCATCAATCACCTTGACGATTTTTCAAATGTAATGAATCTAATTGCAATTTTCTTCTCAACTTCTGCGTTTAGGTATTTCCCTTGACTCGATTATTATTGCGCTAATACACAAATGCAAATCTTGTTTACTCGCAATAGCCATGATTATGCAATAGTTATGGAAAAATAAAAGAAACAACTGTAAATATATGAAATACTAGACTACTTGGATTTACATAAGGATAAGGAATTGGGAAAGGATATTTTTTGATACAAATTTTCAGGAGCTCAAAATAAATAAAAACATAAATTAAATTGACTAAACAGAGAAATAATTAGGGTGTTTGAATACGGATCATAAAATTGTAAAATACAACCTGTAAAGTATTCATTCTTAAGATAAGAAGTACCACTTACATAAATATTCGTTATCTCTTTTATTTATTTAATAAAATTGTTATTTTGTCAAGTGGCCATTGTTTTTGACGTACGCAAATAAGAACAAAAGAATAAATAGACAAAAAAATAACGCAAATTCATGGAACGCTTGATGGAATAATTCACAAAAATAAAATCAAACAAAATTAAATTTACTCATAAAAAACATCCAATTCTTTGCTGTTTTGAATTAACAACTTTTTGAAATTTCATGCTAAGTCCAATTTAAACACTTAGTTTTTGTTTGCATTACGTTTCAGTTTTATATGATTTCATGCGTTTATTTTTTTTCCTCGTCGCTTTCATCTTGAGCATTTAATTTTTCTATCCGAAATTCCGGAGAAATCTATGCCGGAATCTTGCCCTCGATTCATAAAAATATGTAAATCTTTTTTTATTCTTCCAACGATCCACTTTTGAACGTTTCACCTTTCTTTATGCCTATGAACAAAATCAAATGTTCTTTTTACGACAGAATTAGATAAAGAAAATTTAGACGTAAATTCGTTAATTTTAAATTGACTTTTTGCTACGATTCTTTTTGTAAATCAACTACATTTATTTACACTTTTAAACGTTTCTCATTTATTTCTACCTATTACCTAAAAAAAGAATACCTATATTTACACTGTTAAAACTAATTTTACGACATAATTAGATGAATACAACTTGGTAGTAAAATGAAAGCTAATATTAAATGGTCTAATTACCAATAATTTAAATTCAAGTTAAAGAAACACTTAAAACTCGAATCCACTTGAATCAAGTAGTGCAAACGGTATAATTAAATAAAAGTAGAATATTTTAGAACGTTTTTGTTGGTTGCATTCACAAATTAGTTTTATTTTATGCATGAATTAAAAAAATATATATATAAAAACTCTTCGATGTTACTCGATTGGAAAAAAATGATGATAATGATGAACAAAAACCAGTTTTCATCCTCTGGCGTGCAAGTTTTTTTTAAATTCTAGAAACCTAATTTGGAATACGCGTATTATTATCCCATTCGCTTTCCAAGTTGAACTTTCTCAAATCAACTACGGCTACGGTTTATTATAAAACAAAACCACACAAGAAAACAACTGAAAATAGTAATAAATTGGTTAATTATTGAAATAAAAGAACAAGCTTCATAATTTAATGTATTATGTAATTGAAAACAATTAGAATGCAAAGAATAATACATAGGAAATACCGCTTTTAAGACAGACCAAATGCTCGTTTGCAGCACGATTCTTGTTTTTACTTATAATTTCCCACGTGTGTCAATTAATTTGAATGCAAAAATGGTGATTGTTGCAACTGAATGCAATTAGATCCTTCTAATTTCAATTTAATTAATGTTTCTTTATTATATAGAATTATAGAGATGGTTCAGGTTTGATTTAATGAATAGGTGATAAAGAAAGTTGAAATAATAAGTTTATAAGTTACTTGTACAAGTTATTATCAAATTTGTTTCAGTTTTACTTACCTTAAACCTGAGATCTCCGATTGGTGGTTTGGCGTAGGGAATTCCCATGTATCCTTCAAACTTCCTTCCGTTCTTGGTTTCCATGTAGGTTCCTCTGAGGACTCCATTCTTGATCTGAACGAAGGGTCCGCGATCGGCTCCAACGTACGCGCAAAGCACCACGCTGATCGCAATTAACCTGAACAGATAAATCATCTCCGACGAACTTCTTTTATACTTTATCTCGCAGAATCTACCGCTGCACTGATCAAGACCGACCGACGCTCTTCTGGTTTTTATTTCTTCCCCCCCGTGTGCGAGGGGGAATAGTGCGATGAAAGTGGGAGAGAAAAGCGAGAGAATAGCAATGCAGGTGTAGTGTAGAGCTCATTGTTAAGTTCTCGGATCTGGTAAGAGGTGTTGATGGAGTCTTTAGGCGGTGGTGGAAGTCGGATTCTTCGATCGTTCCAATTTGACCCGTTTCTCGAGTCGGGTTCTCGGAGGTTGAACGACCCTAGTCTCGGCCGGCGACAATTCCTTTATGACCAGAGGATCAGTCGTTCCTCCAGGTGGTACGGAGCAAATCATCAAGGCGCAAGAATAATTTCCAGCGCCAGGATCACCGAAGATTAGCTCGTTATTTTTATCCCTCCAGTTTGTATAACTCACTTCTTGAATCAACTATAAAAGTAAATGCGGTAATCACATGATAAACATTCAATCTACTTGTAATTTTATACACATTTTTCAGCATCTCTTATAGACCATCACATATTTAAATTTGTATTTGTCCCAATAGGCAACTTTATTCACTTCAACAATTTATCTGATACTTAGCAAAACACAAAGCAAATACATTAATCATTTGATAAAAAATTTAATATATTTTAACATAAACATTATTTTTAAGCATCCTTTTTACATTATTAATTTCCAAAATATTAAAAATATATTGAGATTTAAATAGAACATTAATCACTATTATAATTAACAGTGCCATCCATTGGATGACCAAATTTCATATTTATGCCCGGCGCAAAAAAAAAAAAATATCAGATCTAATTTTTTTTAAATAATTTTGTTTGCCGACGCCTCTGGTAATAAACACCATTTCTCAGCAATTATTGTTTGCCTATGTTAAAGAACTGCAGCAGAGGAGTATAAAGTAATGTAGAAATAAAATGTAAATAAATGTATATATTGATAACCAATAAAATGGTTCTAAAAAATCATAATTAACAATTAAAAGGCAATTTCATTTCAATCGACCAATAAACATTAATTCAAATTATGCAACTTTATTCTCTTATACTATTTAAAAACATGTTATTGCTTGAATCTGCAATAATTCTTACGTAAAATGAATAAATAAATTCTTAATTAATTTATCCAATTATCAGTTTACATTATTCATTAAACACCGTTCGGTATAAAAATCAAATCTAATTAGAGCAAAGTATGAATACACATTTAAATAATTAAATAATTTTAGAATATTTTCTGTTTGGTTCAGATTAAACTTTCTAATTGGATATTCGTATGTCTTCATTTTTATTTACTTGATGTTTCATAAATTTAGATATTGATACGAATTCAATAAAACGTATTGTCCGTTTTTGGTGGATGCGCCTGGCACCATATACTTAATATACATTATATATTTTATAAATAATTATTAATTATAATAATTGTATTGATAATGTTAAATATAATTTGTTTTAATATTATTTATAATAGTTTATATGAGAAATTAAATAATCTGTAAGTTTAGTTGCCTATGTTTGAAGTTTAAAAGTGAGTGACAAAAATATAAATACATAAGATAAATGGATAGTTATCAACGTAAAGGAAGATGTATCGAAGCATATCATAGTTTTCTTTAACTTTAGTTACCTTCATTTGTGTAGAATAGCAATATTTATGAATTGAAGGCACACAATCCCCATTTCAAAAACAAATCACAAACTTTATGGCAGATGTTGCCATCGCCATGATTACGACCCACGTGAGATACGTTTTTAATGCGAATCTATCTTGCGATGGCCGACATCTCTAAATGGTTCCCTGAGGGATCAAAGCGCAACAAAACGCAAAACAAAATAAATTGAAAAACAATCTCTAATCCCGATATAACACAAACAACAATAAAATATGTTCAATTTTCAAAATTGATTATTGTAACAGTAACTTTGAAATTAGAAACGGAAATGACTGTGGACAATTACGGAAAGCAAACGTTAGGACACATTTAACATACAATTTCCTGTTAGCAAATTGCAATCGGTTTCTGATGGATGGCGTTACGTGATAGCCGCAGCGCAGGTTGTTCAACCGAATTGCAAATATAATACGAGCATGTTTACGTAATGATAATTGTTACGTAAGTGAGCGGTGTCTTGTAATGCATTTCCACGAATCTCTCGAAGAGAAATAAACATTAAAAATAATAATAATAACAATGCGCTCACCTTGAAGTTTAGTTTCCGCGCGGCCTTCTGCATCTTGAAATTGGAGAATATCCCCATGGCAACGGGAACCTTCAGCGACACTGCGACGTCCAAGCCGATTCTCATAAGCTGGTAACCGAGAGCTGTCGATGTTCAACATAGATCATCGGATGATTATTGAAAATTTGACTACGTGATGATGAGGGTATTTCTATCTACCTTTGTGCCTGTAGGTGGGATTGACGCAGAGCAAGGAGTAGTAGAGGAAGGTGTCGCAGTTCATTATCTTGTAGACGTCGTTTTTTCGGCTTAAGGCGTTGATGATAGCCGTGCACTTCTTGCGCGCCTCGCCCTCGTTGAACGCGATTCGCGTAAAAACACGACTGTAATCGATTTTGTTCACGATACGCAATATCAGAACCGCGGCCAATTCATTCGAACCTTACAAAAGAGTACAATCAAATGAAAATAACGGCATTTTTTAATAGAAATAAAAAGCGTTTAAAAAGCAAACATGAAGTCATCGTTGATTTGTTTTTGCGACCGGTTCCGATCAAAATCCCAACAATCAAATTTTCGACAATCAAAATCCGGACAACTATAATCCCAACAGTGTTAAAATCCCGACAGTACCTTTTATTATTTGAAATGGACGTAAAACAAATAAATCTTAAAAATGAGCATTATTACTTACTCTAAGAATAAAAAAAAACATCGATATTCTATTGTTTTGAGTAAAACCAATATTTTATGGAAACTATGTTTTATATCTAAAATAAATTAAAACTCATCAAAATTTGCAAAAATGAATAGTTGTGAAATAATTCCATCACAAAACAGCAGTATTAGAGAGAAATGATTACCAAAATCCGCTAAAATATTCGGGATTTTCACTATATCGGAATTTCAAATGTCGGGAATTTGATTGTCGGGATTTCAATTTTCGTTTTCTTCCTAAGACTATTATAAATCCTTGCAAAGTTTCAATATAAGTACAGGGTGTCATAAAAGTAACGTTACCGTTGTTTTGTTACCATTTAAATTCTGTACAGGTTATGTCAAATTTAATTTGACAGTCCTGTAATATTTATTATCTAATTTTATCGCAGAAAAGAGTTATAAAGATTAATAAACGTATTATAAAAGTTAATTAAAAACTTGGAATAACTGAAAAATCAATATGATCAAGAAATAGATTGATATAGAAGTTATTTTTGGTATTGTTACTCAATACGCTATCAAATAACTTGTCACGTAGTTAACAAGATGAGCACAAATTACTTGGCAAGTATTTTGTAGTGAATATACTTTTCGGACCATAAGACGCATGTTTCTACTTAGAGATAGAATAGATTGTGTCGGTGTTAATACTTTCATGAATCGCTATGATCGAAGTAGAATCTCGCATGTTAAACATGAGTTCATCGAGGAAGGACTTTAATGAAACTTCATCTTCCTCAATCTCCGCATTCCTGCATAATACTTCAACCGGAATGTAATGCTCCTGTAAATGATATCAGTTGTAAATTCATTTTCAAAATATTTAGTCGTTTTAACTTTTATCAATTCGATAACATCTCCGAAGTGTTTCTCCTTCAGGTCGATGATGCGGAAGCCGTTGTGGAAACGCGCCCACGTGATAGGCGCGAAGATCCGCTCCTGCTGCTTCTTAAGTTTGTCATCTTCCTCTTCCGCTTCCTGCCGCAGCTGCTCCGCGTAGTCGTGCTCTAAGCGCAACCGTTTGCTCATGATTTATGTAAGAGGCGCAGAAATCTTCGCCGACAATTTCCCGGAAATCGAATTTGATTACGCATCGGATGTGTGCGCACACGTGAATTTTCATGAGGAGTGGACGAAATCCGCGAAACGTTTACACTCGAATTTTACCAATCGTTGTTTTTCATTGACAGTTGTCACTTTTGAATGTCATTGAAGTCCATGGATAGATGTAGATTTACTACGCAATTTACTATCGGTTGTTATGACTATATGATATAGCATATATAGAAACATAAAAATGTCATCTACTTTTGTAATTTCAGCTTCAGCAACGTAATAACTTTCGTAACTGTTAAATCAAATTGCGGGTTATTTCAAACATTCATTGTTTGATTTCTAATAATAAGTAAACTATTCTCGCTTTAAAAAAATATAATATTTTTTAATCATTATAATGTAAATCTCGCTGAATCTACAATAAGACGCTCCAAAATTTACATGTTAACTTGGTTGCATAACTGATGAAATTTAATTTGCGTCTCTGTCATTCCACGGCGGATTGATTGCGATACATTGAAATTCACCTCGCCGCTTTTACATATATTTCTTCTGCATTTATCATTCCAGCTACTTTTCCTGTCCAAATCCGCGACTATTCAATACTGCACTCGGATGGCGGTAGCGACGAAGGCGGTGGAGGCGGCGGGGCGCGCGCAATCCGTTGCACATCGCAGCGAGCCGCGTCCGCTCCGCTCAGTCAGTTCGACCTTCGTCCTTGCGCCGCATACCCGTCGACACATCCGTGTCCTTAGATATCCACAAAAAAAAATATCTCGCAAAGATTTAAAAAAAAATTATAAACATTCTTGGAAAAGTTTGTGAGTTCACTGTAAGTGCCAGAAGTAAAAGCGAATTTGTTTTGTTGATCCGATCCATGCTCGATGTACAGAGTCCAGGATTTCGCAAACTACGATAAGGTAAAAAATAATAATAAAAAATATTTCAATTGTTTTCTATTTTATTATATAATTTATAATAAACAATTTGTTTATTTCATTCCCAAAATTAAAAGGCGAAGGCGGAAGATGACCTAATGTTGTTGTGTTTTTTTTTACAAACAAATGAGTAACTCCATATTAGTCAACTAATAATAGATGTTAATAAGAGAATTTGCTAAGTCCTTTTCGGTTTGCGCTTCCTGTCCGGAACGCTCCTTGCTTATCTTACCAATGTTTACTTAATATCACTACTTAAAAAATATTCAAACCTGCACATTACTAATGTACAATATTTGCATTGCATATAGATATAACAACTTTTTTTTGTTAGTTACGAATTTTATGCAAAAGCGGAAAAATTTCACGTCGCACCTCAACGAACGTATTGCATTGCATCAAGTTCGCGTGCAATTTGAAAGTAAATCTAGTATTTGTTGTTTTTGCTTCATTTTTTTTAAATTTTTGTTGTTGTTTTGTTGCTGTAGTTTTATTAGAGAGTTACACAACTGTCGCTAATTGCAACAACAACAAAAAAATTGAAAATTTAATGAAATAGTGAGTTAGTTAAATAAATTTTAGTGTATGTACTTGCGCAAGCAAGCTGAGTCATATAGCATTGGTCCAGATTGGTGGAAAGAAGGTAAACAGTTATTGCATTTGCACTCGGCGCTATTTTCTCGGAAAGTTATTTTACTTTCAGATATTTAGACTTTCTAGAAATGTTACTAAGAATTGCAAAAAGTTACATGACATTTTATCAATGATGTTATTCATTTGAATAACATCGTATTCGTCATACTTTGAGGATTCATTTTCAATTTTCTACAAATTTTAATAAATAGTGTTATTTTATTCTAATTACTAATTTTAATGTTTATTAAATTAAGCAAGAAAACAAAACACTTGGAACTAGTTTTTTAACAGTTATTACTTTTAAATATCATTGGAATCCATGGATATATGTAAATTTACTACCGTATGTACCAACTTAAATATGTTACTATAAATTTCAGTTACTAGAACTTTAGCAACTTTATTCTTAAATTATTATTTTAAACATTAATTGTTTGAACTTTTTATATTTTAAACTTAAAATTATTGGAAAATAGATAATATTTAACGATTGCTCTTTCATTAAAAATGATAATTAATTTGTTAATTAACATAATATAAATCAATTGGTATCAACAATTATGTTTGGATATAGCAATGTTTTTACAAAAAAAAAATGAAAATTACGTAAAATAAATTTAAAAGATAATTTACAATTTCTAAACTAATTTAATGACTAATAAGAAATTCACCTGAGAATTAAGTTTTTTCTTCTTCTTCATTATACGAATGATAATCTGCTAATCTATTTACTTGTTTAATGTAGTTTTCCAAGAAATTGGATGACTTTTTATTGTGATTTAGATACATTTAACTTTTATTGTGTCTCAAAGTTTTACGATTTTCTAAAGAATCTCTAAAGTATAATTGGTTAATTAAAATGTGAGCTTATTATGAGTTTCAAATATTATTTTTAAAATATTGAAGCAAAATAAAACCAAAATAATTTTGTTAATGTAAACTGAATAAATATTCTGCAGTCCACTTTAAATTTATGAGCGAAACGCGCGTTTCAATCAAGTAAAATCCACTCGGCCCCCAAAACGAAATGATTCAAACGCGTTCTCTATTCAACCCCTCTCACGATTTATTAATAATAAATATGCGGCCTTCGAGTACGAAAATATCATATTAAAAGCGATAAATTTCAAACCGAAATTCCATTTACCAAAATTACAAAAGCCCTTCTCTCTCTCTGCGTCCGCTTCTAAATGGAAATATATGCAGGTATTCTCTCTGTGGGCAAGATGCGGAGGGGTTCGTTCCTTTAAGAACCATCCCGCATTCGGTACACATTCTATTTTCCCACACCCCGATCGTAGCCGAAATAATGTTCCATTCCGTGGCGTTAATTGCGCAAATCTAATCGGATTTGCACGATATGTTATCTCGTAAATCGCGATAACACTGTTTCATTATCACTGGAAAAAAATGAGTCTGGTATTTCTAGTTATCTAACATCGCAGTGGACCAAAAAAAAGACAATTGTTTACTTGTTTCTAAGTTACAATTCTATTAAATCGTAATCTGGAAGTAGGTAATTATTTATTTATTATTTATACATAATTATTATATTTAAAATAATAACAATTAATGAATTACTTGCCAATAGATAAGGTTTAAAATCACAGTAGTCAAGAACTAATACATTAATTTTAATTCGATTCATGATAGGATTTTTGTTGTGTACAATGTTTCCTATGCCAAGAACAATGTTTTTGTGCGGTCTTTTTTATGCGGTTGATGAAATCCAACCAATTCCAACGGTGTTGGCACCATTGTAATGTGCATATGTACAGCGTGCTGAAACAATTCTGTTAGTCGATTTTTAACCAATTCATCAGAAGAATATGCGCGTTTTAGATTAACACGAGAAGTAGTTAATTAAGTATTTGTATTTTTAAAAAATTCAATGAGAAATTAAATGTTTTTAAAATGTTTCCATGTGTAATTTAATTATTGTATTTTTAAGTGCGATTTTTTTATGCACAAAAACAAGATTTACTGTATTTTACACACAGTTGTCATGAACTAATTTGAATAATTTTTTGACAGTCCACCAACTTTATTTATAAAATTTTGATATAATTATTTTCTTTTTCATGATTATATTTTTTTATGTGTTCTTATTTTCTTATGTGACTTCTGAAAATATGCAATTACATTAGATAAAAAAAATTGAATTTGTTTATCTAAAGAGCCACTTTTAAAATATAAAGAACCGAATTGCAGCTCTCTTTGGCCTCATGTGTGCCCAACCGTGTTATATTCTGATAACAGTTGGTACTTATGCAGAGATAATTGCAAAATTTAACTAAAATATACAGGAATACCTCGCATAGTGCGGATAATTCGCCAATATCGCGTACTGTTTGAAACAGGACCAAAGGAAGACTTCAAAACTTCTCAAAAAGAAACTTGATTGTGTAACGTGGTAAAGTTGACAACACTGAAAACAACGCTCCACGGTGCAACGATGTCTCTAGAATTTCGGGGAGACCGAAGATTTTTATATATCTTTGCGGTCCAGAAGCCATGAAGAATAAGGAAGCAGAAGTTGGAGTTCTTCCTCTCAAGAAAAGGAAGTGGCGCCCAGAATCTTCCCACGTTGTAATATCACGCCCAAGCCGGCTTTGCAGATTTTTTATAATTTATATTTTGTATTTTCATACGCGATATCGTCCGTCGTGTTACAATTGTATAGAGGGCAATGCAATTTGTTAAAATAAAATTTGCACTGATCGAAACCGTAGTATGTGAGATATTGCTTTATATGTATATATGAAATTGATGAAAAAGTAAAAAAAAAACTGTAATAAAAAGATTTTGATTTACCAACCTAAATGATTTATGTTACCATATTTAATGTACATAAGTGCAAATATTTATATTTTTTTGTTGCTAAGTATATAAGCTTGTAGAAGACAAGAAATAATTATTTGATTATTCGTTGCTAAGTAACAATTACTGGAATGGAGTGGTTCGAAAAGCAATAAGTGCGTCGATATTATTGAACGTTAAGAATTGTGAATTAAAATCGAATTAAGGGGTAGTTCGTTGTATGCGATTTAAAGTGAACGGGAGCGACTGGATGCGCGCAATCTCGGCAATCGGATCAATTTAAAACCGATATGAAGGCAATTGAATTAGTGGAGGGAATTAAAATTAATTGAATTTTAATTCGAATCGAATGGGAATGTGAAGAGGAGGAGGACGAATGTGACGACGAGACGCATTTTATATACAGGGCAGAAAACTCTCGATGTTCCTTTATTTCAGCTATCTAGATTGATCATCCATATGTTGAGATCTTGCATGTCCCAACATAATTATTTTCAATTGATTTGAATTTAGAAAGCAATTTCGGAACTCTCTTAGCTTCAATTGGAATTTTAATCATTCTTTTGTTTCTTTTCCGTT